TGATATCCAACTTAATTGAATTTATTTCTCTTGAGGTTCGTCTTTTGTATTGTTTACGCATTTACAATACTTTATTATCAAAGCGTCTTAGTTCTATACAGTATATTTTACTTTATTACTCTATTTCTATTACGTCTTTTCATTCTGTTTTCAGATCATCGCCCGATAGAATTGCTTACCGTAGAGTATCCGACTTAAAATATACTAAGGTAAGCATAGCGCCCTCGACGACACCATCGTTGGCGTTCGTTTTTGGTATTAGAGTTTCAAATCGAAAATTTATTTATTTATTTATTTATTTATTTATTTATTTATTTATTTATTTATTTATTTATTTATTTATTTATTTATTCATTCATTCATTCATTTATTTATTTATTTATTTATTTATTTATTTATTTATTTATTTATTTATTTATTTATTTATTTATTTATTTATTTATTTATACATTTATACATTTATTTATTTATTTATACATTTATTTATTTATTTATTTATTTATTTATTTATTTATTTATTTATTTATTTATTTATTTATTTATTTATTTATTTATTTATTTTCTTATTTATTTATTTATACATTTATACATTTATTTATTTATATATTTATACATTTATTTAATTGATTGCTTGAGTATTGCCTTCATGCCCATCCCGTCGCTACCAACGTTTCATTTCTTGCTTTATTTTTTCTATGATAGCATGCGGGGTAAAAAACAAATTGGATCAACAAACCATGAGGTTATGAAGCTGACATCTTCAATTTTCTTGAAAAATATACCGCAATTCGAACTTGATTGACCGGAAAATAGAAAATCGGAAAATCGTGACACTCGGTGATTAAACGTGACATCGCACACAAACCCCCACATAAACACACACACACAAACGCTACCAGATATGCCAGTTCGGAATGGGGGTTTATTGTAACGAATTGTATTATTGTGAAAGATTTTTTTTTTTATAATTTAACGTACCATTATTTTGCCTTATATTTAACATATTAAGTTGTCAGCCAGTATAATTATCATTTTGATGTTTAATGTTTCTTTGAATTTACATATGCGTGCATAATTAATGTTTATATCATTTATTTGAACGTGTTCATTGCATTTAGTATATGAACTGGTCTATATGATAACAATCATTTGTACACAGTCCCTCTGTATCCTGTCACAAATCGGCTGTCTCGTTGAACGCCTAGTGTAAGCAGTATAAAGCATCGCATATTCAAAACGCCCCATTTGCCAGTGATTTGCTATGAACGGCTCGCGCCAGAAAGCGGTTTACGCGAGACTTTAGTCTATTAATGTCTGTAAAACAGAGAAAGATTATAACTGCAGAAAATATATGACGACACTGAGCCAATTAAACTGTCTCTTGCGATGTGCTTTATTTGCTGGGTATAAAGAGATCGATTCATCAGAACGCCATCAAGAGAAAACGAGTGAGGGCGAGCGTACTGAAATCAGCAGCGCGTACGGTACCACATAGCAATGATCTAAGTACAATTAATCATCCCTCTACGTGATTTATATTTTGTCGCTAGGCACAGCAGCACATACAGTTATCGAATATCGTCGATATAGTAGTTAACTGGCACAAATCAGGACTCACTTATAATAACCATCGCTCTTATCTGCAAGCATTGGCTGATCATTTCTGTGGTGAGTATGTGAGGCACATTTACTATACGTTGCATGCAGCCCTTTCAATGGGCACTGTGTCTATATAACATGTACTTTTAAATTGATATGTCGGTACGCTACCGTGTGTTGCATTGCGTTCAAACGTGTAACAGATCAGCAGCATCTCAGTGGGAAAAAAAATGGTACAGCGCAGTGAGTAAAATATTTTCTGTTTTGGGGTTTAATTCTGATGTCAGGGTCGCACAGTGGTTAGTTAGCACAATGCAATGTTAATTTTAAATCTTATGACCTTATAGTCATCGTATTATTTTTTCTTTGCCTCAGTTGTATATCTAGCAGCCGTGTGTTAACACATACGAGCCGAAGCTGTATAGACAGCTGCATATTTCTTTTATCAATGAATGTATATGTGTTTTTATCATTGAGGTTCATGATTTTATCTAATAATAATTTATCCATGTGGATAAATGATAAGGTCACTATATTACACAGTGTCTCAATGATTATGGTATTAATTCGACCCCATATAGGGTCCGTTTCTACTTCAAAATAACATCATTGTGTTGGCCTCGCCAATATTCGCTTTGATGACACCGATTCTACGTATACCTACTTTGTTCGCATTTCTAACTATGCGTGCGTAATCACAGCGATATTTGTCACATATCTGCGTTTGTTTTCTTAATCTAACCGACACACGTACGCCGGTGATTGATATGAATTGCTCTTTCCCGTGTTTCCGTATTATATGGGCTATTGCGTTCATTCCATACTTTCCTGGTTAAGCACACACAATACATAGCTTGCTAACGAAGCGGCGAATCCAATCTTGAAGTTTGATGAATTTGCTTGTGATCTTTATAGATTCACATTTGACCTTAAAAACGGCCACGGTTATGGTAGCGTCACGAATACATTGTCAATTGCTCTAATCTTGTTGCCACGGTACAAATATTTAAGTGGTTCAAGTTCCTAATCCGACACAATAGATAATTAGAAAGGTAGATATGTAAACGTCACCAAATACCTTCCATGGTCTAACAAATAATGAACCAACGTCACTATGTAATTACTTCTCAGCGAGCTTACATTACAGCTGAGTTGAGCCGAATGTTGGCGTCAAGCACACCAAATGCACAACGTTATTGGGAAGCGATGACAGACGACTTGTCATATTATTTTCACGTTTCGCTGTCAATATATTTCTCCTGTACACTCACTGATAGATAGGAGACTATTTGAAAACCACATGTTGTGTCAAATAACAGTTTTTGTGTATATTTCAAGAGCTCAATAATTGCCTCTGAAATGCGATGATTTTCAGTAATGAGCTGGACTGCGTACGATCTATTTTAATTCGCTGACACATTGTTCACTCAGATGAAATGGTACGTGTAAACAAACTAAGCATCCTATAGGTTGCATTGCTGCATGTATCCAAAACTCACCTCTAATTACATGTAGCCCGGAAGGCTGCAATTTTTTTATAATCGTTAATAAATGAAACAGTTAATTTCGCTACTTTCCTCATGGCATGGGCTTACTTATGAGTGACTGTTCACCGTAAAGCGGTAATTAGAGGTAATTAGATAGAATTAGCGGTAATTACAGCATAATTTAAACAGGGAGATTTATTGTTAACGGGCTGTTGGGCGTTACCCATAATACAAAGCAATCGATCACGTGATACGTCAGGCTTCCTGTTTCCGGCACGCGCTTGCGTTGGCATGGGACACGGTTGGATTAATGAATGCTCGGACCCCAATGTTCAATTCATTAGTTTAGTTAGGCTGATATAACAAATGAATATGTAATGTAGAATGATTGAATATGAACTAAACACTGCTGGTATGATATACAATATTAATAAGACGTGGGGAAAAAATGTCAAAATGTTGCTTTTATGAGTATTTAATATTAATGTCTACGTTATAAAGGTCTAAATCGGTCGGGGTTGACCTCATTGGTATATAATCAACAATATGTGCTCGAGATCAGGAAATGCAATTTCTCTTTTTCAGTGTCTTCATTTCAATTCCAATTCCCCTTAATGCCCTTCGGTTATGTACATTAGATATACTCACACAACCGGACAGCCGTCTCAACGACATCAATTCAGTCCAATTCAATTCCATTGAAATAATTTCACGGAATGCAGCTGGGAGACATCATACAGATTGTGAATATCCCTACAAATGATAGATGATATTCAAAAGAAGCGACCTTGTGGTACGTCGCCTTTTTCTATCAATCTTAATGTTTCCGTCCAATCTGTCGGCACATCCGACGAAACAGTCAAGTCAATGGAGATACAGTATAGTGAGAATTTTATCACCGACAGTATCGTTCATCTACGAGATTAGTCCGTATTGTTGCCATCGTGAATGTAGACATAGACAGCACATTTGAATGTATTGACTCTTCAAGTCACCTAATTGTATCCGTGTTAGCTCCTAGTGAATATATGTATAAATTATGTTATTTTTCAACTACGAGTAGTAGCAATACATATTCACTCAGTATAAAATAACAAGTCACAGACAAACATACTGTTGCATAATTGTTCTCATAGCGGACCTTTATTATGTCTGCTCTGCGTTAAGGTGCCCTGCCATAACGCATGGGCAGGACCGCCGTGGGCTAGGACGTGCACTAGTGTCACTAGTCTTTTGTTTCATCATTTTGTTGTACGCAGAGCTCCTTCTAATAACTCAAACGCTTATCATGACCCATGGGATCTATATATCTTTTAAAATTGTAATTACGAAAATGCAAGATTACATTCATAGAAAAAAAGGATATGCTCCCAGGGTTCCATACAAACCGACGATTTGGGAATATCAATTGGTTTGAAGATAAAACAGTGCATGCGCAGTCACTAAAATTCACTTGTTTATGGGAATAACAACCGCAGTGTTATTATCATACTGCGATAACATCTTATTTATATATATTATTTTTACAATGACTTAAAACGATAAAAAGACACCTCAGTGACAATGATAAAGAGGTGTGCAAGGAGTCTAGCGCGTGTTATCTTATTTTTTCATTGCCAATCTATGCTAACATACCGTCCAACGATGTTAGACTCACGTTTCTTTTACGAATATATATGCCACAGACTCTGTATTGCAAGGCACTATATGTTACATTCTCTTTAAAAAAAACGCACTGACGCGGCAAGTCAGTGTTGGATCGCGTTTACAATTCACACACATCGTGGAATTTGGATGTTGACTGGCTTGGCTCAGTCATTCAAGTATTTTTACACAAATATTACGCGAAAATACATCACTAATGGAGGGACTGTGTGTGAATAGATGTTTCACAGAGAGTCGATGTTCATGAATGATAATTATGAGATGACAGTGTCGAAGCATCTATACAAAACAGGATTTTATACGTCGAAAAAAAAACACTCTCTAATTGGTCTGACTGTTAGATGTAAGGGCTGGGTAGCCAATCACACACAATCTTGTGCGTTACTTCGCATTCATTCTTTATTTGTACTAATCTACCCAGTCTTGCTTCAGTGGTGCGATGGAATACTCTACGCTAATGCCCCAAATGCAGTGAGTAATGTGACCGTTGTTTATATGGTTAATAAACTTGTGGCATAAAAAAATGTTCTTACTTGGATATTATCCATCTATTGGCCTTAGCTTCGGTCAATATCAAAATTAAAGCCCGGGTGGTTAAAACCGGGGTCTATATAATTATTGCTGTCGACGGCGACCAAGACTGATGAGTGTTATATTATCTCAAATAACGTCTGGACAAATTGTCGGTCGAATTTGCCCTCTGGGATGATAAATATTCCCTTGTTGTGCATAATGCTATGACGTTACAATGTTACGCAGTAATGAAATGTAAGATACCACGATTATTATTCATATATAATAATACGTCTTCTTGCATTGACCAATCAAAGCAACTGTGTTATTTATCAGATATCCTCATGGCGGAGCTACTACAGTATATGGTCTGCGCGAAGAAACAGCACAAATTCAACTTTAAATTAATCCTGAGTAACCAAATTTATATATATTGCACATGTAGGGGTACTCTTTTTATACTATTCATAAAGGTCTTAACAACTGTCCCAAAGTACCGTTTCTGTGAGTTTACTACGGCCTTTGTTTTCACCGAGATGGTTGCGAGGCGGTGAAATGCCCAGATGTCCGCTCCCGAGATTATGACTATATTTGTGTGTGCCCAAGCTGTGCAATTTTTATTTTGAATATTATAATTTAATTTATTTGGTAATACATCACACCCATCAAAATAATTATATGCAAATATGTAAATGCTGTCATCACAACATCACTTTGTTCTCATAGATAAAAATATTCAATGCACTTTTCGCCAACACACACATATAACCACAGATGATCTGTTGGTCATATGCCTAGGTAGAAATATATGCTGCTGTTGTTGTTGTTAAGCGAAAATCGGTCGTTTTATTTTCAATGTTTTGTTTGTTTGTTTGTTTTTGTGTTGGGAGACGCAAAGGGGACATGACAAGTCGCTTGGTAGGACGGTGTCTCATGTTCCGAGTTCACTGTATGCATAGAAATGTTGGGAGAATACAGAAAATGTTCTGTTCAAATAAAGAATATTTACATGTCAATCTCCAAAGATTCCTTTGTTTAAACGACTCTTGCTTAAGAAGTCCCAAAAGTTCGATAATGGTACGATCCAAAAGTGGCCTTCAGCGCGTCTTCAATTGTCGACAACATTGACACTTAAGACACCACAATTCCATCACTCAATGCTCGATAGCTCTTATAGTTCGATGTAATGTACCTGTACTTGTTGTATGATCATCAGATAAGAAATACAGGTATGATGGCGATAGGCGGTGCCGATCGGTCGATGGCTGTGGTTCTGTGCGAGTTCCAATTCCGCCTACCCCAACGTGACCCCCGTCCACAACTGACTTGTACCTACTTACGAGTATATCTGACGTTTTCCTGGTCGTATGTTGTGTATGCCTGCCGGACGGGGTGGAAAACAAT